TTTTTATTACAACTTTTGAGAAGTTATAAATAAACCGCATTTAAATCATATATATATATATATATATATATATATATATATATATATATATATATATATATATATATATATATATAATAAACGGCACCGACGAGACGCTACGACGGTGCTGTCGCCTGGTCGACAACACGCTGCGAGCACGTCCGGAGCTCCACAGGCTTATTGTGTCCCTCGTGTTGCCTCGGCACACCAATCGACGCCTGGATCAGTCGAACCACCGCTTCGTCCACTCGTTCAACACAGAAGCCCGGAAATTCAACAACACTGTCAAGGGCTACTGCAGGAAACCAGCAAGGTGACCTTTCTGGACCACGACTTCACGTCGCTGCGCCTCTTCGAGCCCTGGCGGCTGAAGGGCTACACCCGAGCTTCACGGAAGTCGCCCTCCTCGCGGCAAACCTGAAGTCTATTTTGCAATGTGGAACAAGTGCGACGTCGCCAGGGTGGCCATCAAAGACCCCCTCCGTTGCCACCGCCAACTGCACCAGGATAGCCCCATCAGAGGAACCCAGGCACCCCGAGAGTCCCAGGTCCCACAACGCCAGTCCAGAGAACCCAGCCTGTGGGGATCCCGGGAGCACCGTGCCCGGCAGCCAGCGAGAGCATCGAGAGCCCGCCTGCCCCTGTCCCTACTGAAAAAAAACCGTATAAAAATTCATACTGGTTGACCCGTATACCTCATACGGTGTTATGGGATACGGGTCTCCCGTATGCGACTGGGAAACCGTGCCTGTACGGTTTGACCCGTTTAGATATAGGAACCCGTACCTTACAGATTGACCCATTCAGATATAGGAACCAATATTTATACAGACTCACCTGTTCAGATAGAGAAACCTATATCTTTACAAGTTTATCCGTTCTGACGCAGCAATAGAAATCAACATGGTGTTGAACGTTTGCATACGGACGTACGGATCTTTGCAGGTTCAACAACTCGCATGCATTTGTCATTCTAAGAATGAGCATGAGCCAGGTCATTTCAGGTTATATGTGTATTTAGTGAAGGCAAATTGGCATACTGCAGAACATCAACAAGAAGCTTAACCTCTAAGCAAGCTTAGAAGTCAAGCTTCTCGTTAATATCCTGCATTAGGATATTAACAAATTGGCATACTGCAGTAGGTTGACCCGAGCTTTCCTCTTCCCTGGAGAGGCCTCTCGAGGATGCCTCCATATGGAGTCGTTGAAGGCATCTGCAGGAAAAAGAATATAACAATAAGTCATATATATCTACAGTTTCTGAGAAAATTTAATATTTTACTTCCTGCAATTATAAGCAAGCAATTTCCACTACAATATATGCTTTGTTAATATCTTGTGATACCATGTAGACTCCAAGAGCAACTTCTTACGATTACGCAGTCTGCTGAAAACAGCAGGTGTGCATGATTCAGCCAGAAAGTTTTGAACCAGTTCAGACCGAGTTCGCAGGAGTGCAGAAGCAGTGCGCAAGTCGGGCTGCGGCTGCGTGAAGTTAAGCTGCCGCGTTACAAACGACCCTGTAATTGGTTTCCGAAAGACCGACGAGTTGCCACCTGTTACTGCATGAACGCTGAACTGACTTCAGCCAGCGCAAGATTCTGTGGAACTGAGGCTGAGCTCGTGCAGCACTGGGATCAATCGAGCAGGCCAGTTCAGCGTCCAAGCAACTTCCGATTGAATCTAAAGCATCAGTTCTCACACTATTTGAACTATATCGGCTGGTTCAAGCAAATCGAAAAGACCTAGTGTGACTAGTGCGACGTCTCACCACTACGCACTTAAAGTTTGCTTGCAACAGTGTGTTCCTTGCATTTCAGTGTGTATAAACATTATAGACCCGATTGAATCTAATGCATCAGTTCTTACACTATCTGAACTATATCGGCTGGTTCAAGCAAATCGAAAAGACCTAGTGTGACTAGTGCGACTTCTCACCACTACGCACTTAAAGTTTGCTTGCAACAGTGTGTTCCTTGCATTTCACTGTGTATAAAAATTATAGACCCTGGACCAGGGGGACAAAAAGAAACGGAAAGACACGAAGCTCCGGAGCTTTATGTCTGTCTGTCCCTTCTTGTCCCCACGCTGCCGGGTTACTACGTCTATCCTTAACCAGCTCGCCTGCCTGTTAACTAAAATGAAAGTATGTTCTATGAATCCAAATATGTATTTTAAAATATGAACATGGGCCTCCGATTGCCGAGAGCCTCTAACACATTTCATGCCCAACAACGTCACCATGGAAACGAGTGAAAGGAACATTGAACACACAATTCTCGGCCGGCGGTTTTCGTGCGAAAGATAGATTTTGAGCCGCAATTGTTGTTCTGGGCATGTATATAAATTAACAACACAGATTTGACATCAAGAATCATTTAACAAATTTAATATCCGTGTCACGACCCTTCAATGGTCCATTCATACGTGATAGGAGGAATACCCGCGATGAGAAGGTGATTTAGAAAAAATGGGAAGTACTCAAAAGACAGAGCCAAACGTTGTTCGGTTGCAGCAGCTCTAGTGGACAAACAGACTCGTTTCACAACTTTGCTAGTACCAGCTTTTCGTTCAAAAGAAAAAATAAGTGCCTCACAGCTCCGCCGGGGAGCCAGCAGAAGGCCCTGCGAGCAGGCCACTGATATCATGGACCTCCCCCAAAACTTGCAGGGATTAGCAGATATTTGCGACGCGAAGCATGTTGCTGTAAAACCTCCATAGTGTGAATGCACCAGAAAGCGCCAAGCCACCTAGATGACCGAGACAAGGTCACTTCATTTTTCTTCATATATTAAAAACATAGAAAGAGATAGGGCTTCTTTATTTCGGTTTTGCGCTCGGAGCTTCACGTTCCTAAAGCTCGAGCTAGTCGAACTGTGACCCTTAAATGTGCTTATAGCACTGAAAGTTCTGAAAGCCTTGGAATACTTTATCCCATTCATTTTGCCGTAGCAGATTGCAACTTCGGAACCCATAAGATTTGAATGTCTCACCAAGTATGAGACATCTGTGAGAAGTGGGCACTTACAGCTGACTGCTGCCAACTTGACTGGAATCAGGGCCCTCTTGGCCACGGCGCCCTTGAAGCGCCGCCTTGGCACCCCTCACACTCGGCCCACGCAGGTCCTCCCTGCTGAAGATCAGGTTCGTGGCCTCTATGACGAAGATGGAGTCTCCCCGGGCTCCCCTGACGTAGGACGGTTTGTATGTTTGCAACAAGACACCGTGGCCAAGGTGAACCTAGAAATAGATAAAAATGCTCTACAGGAAATGCAGCCAGCCATTGGTCCCAATCTCGATCTTTCGGAAACTTGTGCAGACGTCTGCCGCACAATGACACTTTTTTCGGACGCAGGACATGTAAGGCAGCTCTTCACGCAACATCTTGGTGGTATTCTTTTCGGAGCTGATCACGGAAATTCACCACCGGCGCTCACTACTCATCTCCAACTTCTCAATGTACAGAACAACTCATCTTGAAGTGCAGAACAGAGAGCGGAACAGACATAACTGCAAAGCAATCGCATAGCAAACAGTTCCAGCCATGCGTGTCGTCTGCTGTACACACAGCAGTCACTTGCCCAATATCTGAAATGAATATTCGATGAAATTTTGAACTTACCTCATCATCGACCTCTGCAAGCACTGGCACACACTCGGGAAGTGCCTCCGGTGGGCCTGCTACAAGAACCGCTGCTGGAACAGCAGCATCAGCGGCCGGTCCGGGTTGAGTGTGATCTACACCAACTCGCACAACGCGAACTGGAGCAGGAGCACCAGCTACAGGAACTGCTGCTGGGCAAGCTGGAGGAGCTGACCCGACACCGCGAGACGGGACTTTGTCCACTGCAACATAATAAAACATTCTTTAGAAACAAGACACGGTACAGGAGTCGACAGATTTTTCGGACGCCAATAATTCAGACATGCTTGGTTATTCGGACTTCAGCACTTTCCTGGTCCGTTGATGGCATGAGGGCTTCATTGTTTTTCATGCCACAGAAGACCATCGGCAGTGGGCCTATTTGTTTTTCCGTAACACACCGGGACTGGAAAAGTGGTGCGAGCAGAACACAAAAAAAGGACAAGGCACAAAACCAAAAAGAAAATGAGGAAAAAAAATGCGCTCAAATTCGCTGGCAGTGGGCGGCAGAGAGCATGTTTACAAAAAAATGCCCGTGAATAGCTAATGAATATCCATACCTAGCACTTCCGACAGGTTGCGAGATATAAGCTCAATCTTTCTGACGAAATCCAATGCTGTAGCAGATCGTCTGGCCACCTTTTAACCAGTTGCACAGTTGCGCTGCTAGGCACAATCTGCCGCCCGATTAAAGTTTAGCCTTGTTGGTGCTGTGGTCATGCCTACGACCTGCTTCATCACTCCCTCCTCCTCAACAAAAAGAACTCCTTTTTCCCCAATGACGAAGGGACGTGCGCTGGCCGCGCTCATCGGAAAGTGCATATTTACAATGTTGTGACCGACAGAACAAACTTTCACTTCAAGCCTCATCTATGCGCACAGACCATGGTGTTTTGGTATGGACATGATTGTTTGACGAACAGCAAAAAAATATTTCTTCGGTCAAAACAAGAGTGCTGCCAAGCAAAACGGGGTCATCGCCATCAGCAACAAGAAACAAACTCTCAAAGCTCCATTTGCACCCTAGGAGAAGAAAAGAGAATTATAGACACCAACTCATTGATACATTGAGGCCACCTTGTGGTATATGCTTACTTCTGTTCGCGACCAAAAAAAAAATTAAAGTTACTTTTGATCCCTCGAATAAAGTGTGAGCACATAATGTGTCGTGTGTGAGGTGGGCAACTGAAAGTGCGTCCTGGCTTACCCAGTAGTGCCAGTAGCTGCTACTGCAGTCTTCTTGAGAGCGTCCTCTCTATATGGAGCTCCTGCTCCAGGTTCACCACCCTCTGCTTTGCCGACCGCAGCTTTTAAACCAGTCACGCATGCTCCGCAAGCGAAACAGTGGACGTCTTGTCCTCCGTCTTCTTTTTTTTTTTGTACTTGCCACCCACTGCAGGGGATGGCGACATCTCAATCTGGAAAAGAAAAAAGGTCCACGCATTTCAATATTTATTTTATATAAACTTCCAACACAAGATTCGGACACACATAGCTCACATTAAATTGCTCCCCCTGAAAGAATGCTTCCAGATGCCCATGACCATATATCCGGTATTCGCTGTCATTTCAGGAAATAATTGCTACATCGTCCTTTACACACTCTAGTGGGTAAAGAACGATACGTGTATCTGTTTGCGCTGCGTGTACCTGTTGGCAGAAAACACTGTATAGGTAGACGAAATAGTATGATAAAATATTGTGTTAAAAGGCAATTCTCAGTTAGTTAGAAAGTAAATTATGATTATACTATTTTGCACCCAGTGTACTTTCTTTGAGTTACGTAAACTCTCAGTTACTTTGTACTTGCAATCCAGTATTTTTAAATACGATAGCACTTATAAGCAAACCCTATGGACTTTAGGCCTCCATTGGCCCGAGGTTTTGTAACTGCTTTTGAAAACAGCATGCGCCGGCACATTATAATTCAGAAAAGAAAAACATGCCGCCGGCACTGAGCCTCAAACCCACAACTGTTGGGGTCTAAGCCGGGCATCGTATCCGCTTTACTACGAGCACACATGGGCAAGCATTTGCGAAAGAGTTACTGGGTGCAGGCAAGAGCTGCGTTGATGCACGTGCCAGTGACTCAACGCCGTTGTTGCCATAGCAATGAGTGTCACATCTGGTCGCAGTCGCGCACAGCCACATCTGAGGAGAGCTCTGTGAACCAGACTTGAGCATCATCTATCGTTCTCGGTATGCGAAAGCACGTCTCACCAGAGGAACATACACGACGCGTGCTGAGGCGCAGCGACAGCAAAGTGCCTAGGGCACTTCGAAGCAACATGAAACATGTTTGTTGAAAGCTAGAGAGGAAGGTAGCAACAAGAGGACCATCGAAGCGGATGAAAAGATTCACAAGAGGAATCTTTGGCTGCAACGCAAGCAGGACGCCAAACAAACGAGGACGTCTTCCGATAGTGGAAAAGAGATGCACCTTCGAGTATAACGAGATTGAGACTTAGAGCAGGTGAGGACGCCTCGTAAGACTGAACAGGGTCAAAATCAGATAGAATGCGGTCGAGAAACAAGCAGGAGAGTATCTCTTAGAATTGAAGACGGACAACTTCGGCTACAGCACAATCGAGACCAGGAGTGGCCAAGCTGCGGCTCGTTGTGTGTTAAAGTGCGGCTTGTGGTCCACTTTCATAGAGCGTATCTACCCACCGGATCTGTGTAACAGAATAGCAAGCAATTTAAAAAAAAATGTCTATACAAATAGTCGTGACCAGCCATAATGAATGGACACAATTACTCATGAGGCGAACAAAATGCAAGATATTCCTTAGCCTAACCGTGCAATTTTACCCACAGTTACTGCCCACTGGTAACAGAAGTGAAGTATGGTGCCGATTTGAAAAAGGGACACAAAAGACGAACTTAAGGCCGCTGGTTCTGAACAGAGTCAAAGAATGAGGTAAGAAAAACAGTTTAAAGGCGCACATATACCTCGAACCTTGAGTCCAATATCATAGGGATGGCCACGTGCTTCTTTTTCAAAGCAGCAACCAGCTAACCTCGTGTCTCTGTACGAAAAAAACATGCACATTGAGTTACATCTCAAAGTCATGTTTGTCCCTCTTCCCCCCCCCCCCCCCCCCCCCCATCTCCTCTTGTATCGAAGTTTATAAATATGACCGTTCACCAGCTAGCCTGCGCTATAACCCTTGTTTCAACAAGTCTTTCCTTCTTTATTTTTACAAACTAAATGCACCACCTAGTTGAACTTATTTGGTAAAGTTGTTGTAGCTTACAAAGCCGATTTGTTGTGATTTATTTTAAATATCGTGGCTGCCATCTGGAGCGCCCTGTAGTTCGACAATGTAAAACCCTTTCCTTTTGTCGCCCAGTTCATTACAAATCCGGCGCAAGGACATATTCGTGCCCACCTCATTTCGCGAATTCTAGACGCCGGAACGGGAGCCCACCAAATTTCCGCTTTCCACGTGTCCTTGAATTTCGATTATTTTTGGACGTGTAGAATTTGCCAAGAATTAGGGGCTCGAGAACATTAGGAAGTTTTCGTAGACCGCGTTTCCCCCTCCGCTAATTTTTCCGCAACGAAAAAGTTACTACTGCGCCTGCACGCCGATAGCCTTGACTGTAGAGTTCCAGGTATATAGCCAGTTGCGGAGGTCGTTGCGGGACGGCGAAAACGATCTTCGAAAACTCCCTATTAACGGTTTGCAGTAAACGTTGTGCTTCGAGCCCCTGATGCATAGAAAACAACTTACCATTCCCCGGCGCACGCTCCAATAGCCTCCCAGTACACGCTTTTCGGCACGTCGGGGTCGAAGTCGCCAACGCTCGCGGGTTTGAACTTCTAGATACGGTTCACGCTGACTATTGCCTTCGCGCCATCAACATAAGTCAGGTACGCTTAGTACATATCGACACCGATAACACCGATCGAGATAGCCCTAACGTCAATGTGGCTTTGGTTCGGAGCACTGTGGCTGGCACTAGAGCACTATATAGTTCCTACGGAGCATAGTAGCGCAATCCTTTGAACTCCGTGTTTTGCCGACAACATTGCCGACAAAGCGGCTCGGTGCGAGTCACTCAGGGTTCCTGGAGGCGGCCCGCCCTATGGAAGAATACATGGAGATCGACACAACACGGCTGATTCGAAAATTAACGGGGAGTTCACACTTTTCAAAACTAGTCTGTCGTGAAGTTAGTAAAGCGCTAAACACTTTGTCAAAGTTTTAATAATATCGGAAGCGTGTGCAAATTTTGAGAAGGCAATTTCCAAGGCAATGGTGTTTGAAGCAGACGATTTTTGCTCGCAGCGGAGATGGGCTTTTCGGGTTGGCCGGAGCGGGGCACGTGAATGGTGTGACGTCGCCGTGTCGTCTGCTGCATGATGCCGCTCAGGCAATTTAAAGCGAAAAAAGTTACGTCCTTGCGTGGCACAAAACTTAGCGCAAATTATTCTAAAATGTTGCATTATTATGTCAAAAACGATTGCCATTCCGTACATCCCCACAATACTGAAGAAACAACGATTTTCTCACGTTCTCCATGCATTTCTCACCGCAGTTGGAACCTCCGGGCGTTCGCCGCTAGTCGCCGAGAGACGGCGTTCTTGATTGCGCTACTCCAGAGCCGTATCTGCGCTACTCTGCTCCGAAGGAGCTATATAGTCAACGAGGTAGTGGGGCTTAGAGCGATAAACCGGGGTTCCGGTCTGCACTCGAAAGTGACCCCCATAAGGAGGCTGCCATTGTATGCAAATTTGACCACACGTCACATGACCAAACCAAATGCGTGACGTCACAGAAAAGATGGCAGCGCCCATGCAGCGGCTGGCCCCAGCTGGGCCGGAGCTTGTCGGATGCTTTGTTGGTTGTCGTTCGTCTCGGCGAGTTGATTTCAAACGCGGAAGCCGTCATATGAGGCCGGTCGAAAGCGCGTTCAGAGTTCAGCGTGGTGTTTGACGTAGGTATAACGTGAAAATACGGAGAAACGGTGTGCATTTCGCTGGTGACCGACCGGGATATTGCCACGGAAGAGACAATCTGACCTACGTTGCTCGGACCTCGGATTGATTCGGATACCACTAGGATATAATTAAAGCGACGTTTCTGTGCTCTCGTTGACCATCGGAATCTTCGAGGTTTGCAGTGAAGCGTGTGCAATATATTTGGATACACAGTTTAGCGACGGAAATTGCGTGAGTAGTGCTTGGCGGTGTGTAATCGCGGTGCAGCTTGATCAAATGACCGAGGGCTCACTTCGGTTGTGCGGCGCACCGGAAGGCTGCCTTGAAGCTGGTAGTTCCCGTGCCGTGCTGAATGATGCTGTGCTGCTTACAAATTGTTCCGGCGTAGAAGTGCACTTTCACGGAGCACAGGTGTGCGGCGCACCGAAGAGCTGCCTTCAAGCTGGTAGTTCCTGTGCCATGCTTTAGGTGATGCTGTGCTGCTTGCGAAATTGTTCCGGCGTAGACGTGCACTTTCACGGAGCACAGGTGTTGCAGTTGGTATTGATCCCGCTGGTCTGCCGCACGTTTCGTCAACACAAACGTTTCATCCACACTCGTTACGCGAATTGCAAGCTGTCCGGACATTTCACCGAGCGTGTTACGTACCCAGCTCACACCGCTTTGTGGCAACAGTCTGCAGTGGCTCATTACCAGAAAAGTGGTCCCACATCCATTTCAGTTCAGTTCGTCCACGGCAGTCGCCAAACCCCGAAGGAGAGGATTTATTCGGACAGAATGCCACTAAAGCAATGCAGCTTCTTCAGTGGTCAGGATCGATTCTCTTCTGCTAGTTTTGTTATACTGTCAAGGATCCTTGTTCCAGTCCTATCTTCTATCAATATTCACTATTCTGGGACACTGCAGGTCATGCTCAGCTGTAATCGTATGTTCAGGTGGAGGTGCTGGGCACTTTACCCGTAGCCCTTCACTCTGTGTGAACCCGGCGGCTCTTCAGCCGAGTTACCCGATAATGGGACACGGCTGGCGGACTATTCTGCGTCTTATACCCCTGTCGAGCCGTAGGCAAAGTCCTGACCCGAGCCTGGCAGAACAACCGCAATACGACCGAGTACCACAAGGAGTAACCTCGGAAATACACCACGAAGCACCTGAAATCCGAGCCAGTTGCTGCTACCAGGAAAAACCACCGGAATTCGGTCTCCTGTCAGAAAATCCGAAGCTGACTAAGCCAACAATGACAAACCTGTAGCAGCAAACCGTGTCCCCTCCCACCATTGTTTGCATGCCCGTCGCAAATCACACTCCGACGCTTTTTCACGCAAGCTGTATGAAGACGTCAAGGACTGGATTGAACAATATGACAGTGTCGCCCGCCACATTGGCTGGACAGACAACCAGCTCCTGCAGAACCTATACTTCTCGTGGAAGCAACTGCCGGCGCTGGTCTGTGAACCATGGATCCTCCTTAAAGGGGAACTCCGCCGATTTCTTCGTAGTCCCCGATTTGCTTGAAATTTTGCTAAACTCGCCAAACAACATCGCCAAAATAGTATCCCAAATATTAGGTCAAAATAATTTTTTTTCACGAAGTTATTGAATTTACAATTTTGGTCCTCACCGTGTTTTTCAAACTGAAAGTCTCTACTGGCAACAATGAAAAAGTGACGTCATTGGAAGTGCAGGGGTTCACTCTTTGGACTGTAGAATTTGTTCCCAACTGATTTGAAGCAGTTTCATGGTGTCAAATGAATGCTTTGGAAGCTCGCTCCAGTCCCCGCGCTCCATCACGGAACAAATGATTGACATATTCTATTTTTTAGACTGCTCGCCCGACTGGCAAGCTGACCTTCCAATGACGTCACGGCCCTCAAAAGGGCGGGTATATTTGAATGTTTGTTTTTGCATGATTTTCATTTGCCGATTTCGCAATAACTATTATGAATTTCACGATACTAAATAGCATACCAGAAAGGGTAAAGGCCGGGGAGTCAGAAAATATAGTTAGTTGAGGTAGCTCAAAAATCGGCGGAGTACCCCTTTAACGTCATGGGAAGTTTGCAAGATCAAGCTGAAGCGCGCATCCGTCAGCCAACATCAACGAAAGAGAGCCGCATTCTTGATTCTGTCCAGGACACTGCCCCAATGAGAACGCCACCGTACTCGTGGAGGATGTGCTGCGCTTGATCGAGCGCCCACGCCCACGCCCACGCCGGCCTTGATGCTACAGAAGCCAAGAACCTAAGAATCCCATGCGCCTCACGTGAGGGACAACACCTTCGGCAGCCTTGTCCGCAACCCCCAACAACAGGCGAAGTGTTCATGTCACTGAGGCTTCCAACATGGAATGTGCACTGCATGCCCGAGCGTGCCACTATGAACAACTTCCCGGCGTCTCGACACTCGAGTTGTCCAGCTACTACTTCGACGGAAGCCTCCCAGGCATCCACGACATCACCCACGACGTTATCTGGGAGGAGATCAGGACGCTACTTCCTGCCATCAGGTGCCCGGCTTTTATTTTGATTGCCGAGATTGTTTCCGAACAAGTTTGACAGGTATTTCAACCGAGACTTCTGCGAGCGAAGCGGCATCTGACAAACCAAGGGCAACTTACGCCACAATGGCACGACGACCGCCACCGGCTGCCCCTTAGTATTCAATGCCAATTCAATGAGACACTCTAACGCCGAAGCATTCCCGACATCGTGTGTAGGACTGTGCTCAACAAAGTACACCGAGGAAAACGTAGGTGATGCGAATGTGCGACCGAAAACCACTTTGCTACCACTGCATGAAGCCGACCATGTCTACCAAAGCAGCCCGTACCAATGAATTGGTCGGCGAGGGTTCGTGCCAAACGACCCTCGATTACGTCTCGAGGAGCGACCACGGGAGATTAAGGATTACCTTCGGCGATCTTTGTCCCTGATGCCGAAGGTGCTGAATCGAAGATTCTGAATCCCTGATTACCCCAAAGCTCCTCATGTCCATCACCTCAACAAGAGGTAAGCACGACAAAGCAGGTGAGTGGCGATGCAGTGACAGTGGATTTGGTGTCGGTTGTCGTCCAAGGACAATACCTAAAAATTTGCTGACACCAATTTTCTGTGTCCACTCCACGAAGCACACAATTTCCAACTTTGAGGGAGAATGCCCCTGAGTGACTTGAAGGAATACAATGGTTGGTTGCCCTCAAAAGTGAACTGCAAGCATCACCAGACTTGGATAGCAAACAAAAATTGTTGCCAGCTTTCAAGTCAACGGTACAGCGAAAGGCACAGCCACGTAAGCAATACATGCCCGAGCTTGCTACATTGATGCCGAAAACTACCAGGAAAATTTTCGGATTAGAAGCCAGCCCTGCAGCTTCAGTGCACATGACGTATGATTACAAGACAGCATCAGTCGGTCAAAGTTGCCACTCGACCAAACTGAACACTGACGTGCCAGGAGCGTCATCCGACAACAAGGTCCACAGGTACTACGACTGAACGCCTGACACGAGACTGTCGCAGAAAGAACTCGTTATGGAACCGTTTACTAAGAATCAATAATTATGTAATCAAGTGGAAATAAACATGTTTGGTACACTAACCAGATAAACATATTTCCGCTTGCCTTCATGCCTTGAGAGTCTACACACCGAGAATTGTGTCCATTGCACGCTCTGGACCTTACGAGGACACTCGCTTCTCTGACTCTTCAATATTAATTAAGCGGTCATACCAGACTGGCAGACTTCTTGCAAGGGGCTGCACTCGTTCAACCTTTCCTGAACATGTGGTGCATCCGAAAACCAACTGCAG